CTCTGAAGACCAGGTAGGGACACTCCATCCGCAAACATATCCAGATTGAAGCGCTTAAATAGCTCTCGCTGAGCCTTGATAGCTTTGGTGAAAGGGACTACGTCGAGATTATTGTACCAGATCAGTAGGTCTTTGATCGATTACATCTCGTGGTAATCCCACACGAACTTCACTCGTTCGTAGTCATCGCTCGTGATGCTCGTTCCACGGAGCTTACTATCAAAAGCTGACTTAGGCGGGATAGTAGTCTGCTTTAGAACATTGAACGCGGTGATGTACTCGTAAGGGAAAAGACCCTTACCAAGACCACAGACACATCTAATTTTGTCATCGCATTTGCAGCCACCGAGATATGTTGTAAGATACTTGTCGTAGCTGGTACCAGCTGGTACATAGTTAGTGATATCAAGCATTTTCATGTCCGATGTAGCAATGCACATGTAGCTGGGGTTCTTGATGACAGATTTGACGCTGTCGGTACCAATTACGGCAAACAAATCTTTCTTAATCCAAATATCATATCGACCACAATTGAAGCCGAATACTGGTACCTGGTCAAGCTGCTGTTTCAGTTTCCCATAATCAGACCTTTGCTTACCAAAACCAAGACTGCGGTGAAAGTCAAAGAAGCTGGCATACTTTCCCTCTTCAATCCAACTCTCCACATCAGACATCTTGTACTTTTTATCAGAATTAGCGCCTGGGACTTCCATACCTGTCAGACCATGTGCATTGATGATTTTTTGTAGAAGCGACATATATTTATTGACATTGTACTGCTGAATCTTAGCCGATACATCACCAATGTAATTGAACATTTCCGTAAGTAGCATCTTTGGATCGTCATTTACAAAGCAACGCACCCCCTCGGCTAAACTATCAGCTACTGATACCGACACAGGAATGTGTTCGTTCGTGAAGACAGTATTCTCCCCGTGTTGAGTCGCGGTAGGCTTAAGAATGGCCTCAAAGTCATAAACGATGAAGTGATCGATGTACTGGTCAGTATTCTTGATTGAATACTTCGTAAGCAGTGATTGTATTACGTTCTGAGCTGGTTTGTAGATAGTTGGCTCAGCTGGGAAGCTTTCGATATTCACGAGCTCACATTGATTCTTTTTGTGATTTTTTACTCTTTCAGCGCTGACGAAAACCATTGCACACTTAGGGCATTGATACTTAGCCTGAAGCATGTCAATGTTCTTGATGTAAAGAGCATGATTCTCGAACGATAAAATATCCATAGCTTCATACCCCTTGTCCGATCTACGAATGCATTCTACATTTCCGGAAGCTACATCCATGCTATATACGTTAATACCGAGTTGGAAGCAGTCCTCAACTTCATCGAGTTGTAGTAGGTCAATAGGCTTGAAACTTCTAAATAGACTCAACGTATACTTCACCCCCTTGAAAGAGCAGTAGCGCTTGAATACCTCCTTCACCTGAGCCTGAATTCTGCGAGGATCCTTCTTAGGGCTCTGGAATGTATGCCAGGCGATATAGCGGAAGACGCACTTGTTGTTGGTCTTAGGGAAGTTGATTACATGCTTGTTTTCGCGGATAATCTTAGGAATAACAGCGTCGCTATCCCCAAGAGCATGGTCGCGATGGTAGACGAAAATCTTGAATGCAGTGATCGCCTTAAGCTTATATCCCGAGCTGGGATAGTTCAGCTTGTCAGCCAACTCCATAGACCGAATTTCCGAAATGACCTTCTTTCGAATATCAGCCTTGCTGTTGATAGCGACAGGCTTATTGAACACATAAGTGCTAGCGAGATTCGGATAGAAGTAGCGAGTGTCATCAGGATCAGTCTTGCTCACAAGTTCGTACCCGAGAGCAACATTTACCTTGAACGCACTTGCCTGAGTCGAAAGAACGTTCTCGAGCTTATCGTAGAAATCAGTAGCCTCAACACCCTCATATAGGTGTGATTCCATGTGATTACCATTGTAAAAACGGTACTTAGGATCAGCCTTGTAGTCAGGCGACAAGTGTTTCTCAAGGGTTTCAGTCGAAGCATTGTACTGCTTAGCTACCAATCTCTGGTTGATTGGGCGCGAAACGTTGCTTACATAAACCATCTTACCCGTTCTACCACGCACCTTAACACGGTAGCTACTACCCCATTTGATAGCTTGAATATTTAATCTCTTTAATCCTTCGAGCTCGTATGCAAACATGTTGCCTATATATGCTTGGCTATATTCTTCTTCGTAGATATGACTTTATAATATTTTGATCATGTATCAGGATCGACTTTATATCTTAGTGATTACAAAAGATTCTGAAATTAATTAATTCAAATATTTGGGTTATACCTTTTTGGAGGTTTTAAGCCATTGTCATTGACTATATTGGGATTGACTTTTTATTTGAGAAAAAAAATTAATTCATTCATTAAGTTCGGTTTCGTTGTTTTGTCATCAATAAGTTCGGTTTTGGGCTTCGCTCTATTCTTATCGTCGTAGCTCTTTTGATATGACAAGCGCGTCGCGTGTGCGCTGGTAGTAGCGCTTCTGTGCTGCCTTTTTTTAATGTTCTTTGTTAGCGAGGTATTGTTCAAGTGAGTACGTCATCTTAGTATATAACTAACCTTTTTTTATCAGGATGAAAATTAATTGAGTGTTATTCCGATGACGAATAGATCACGAAGTAATATTTTGGTAATATCTTGGTAGGCCATGAAAGAGAAGCTGATGTCATTGAAGCGTTGAAGCACTCAATTCATTACGCACCTCGGGATACGGAACAAGGATTGCATACTGTTTGATGGTTTGAGGAGTCTTCTTGGTGAAAGTTTTGTAGTAGAGTGGTGGAAGCAAAAAGAAGAGTCGATTGCCGTTCTGACCCAGTTTCGCCAAATCATCCGCCGCCCCGCCCTTGATGTCATGCGTTTTTCCCACAGTCATCTGGAATCCACCGAACTGCGGCATCCACGCATCAATAGCAGTATAGTTCGATGTCCCAGGCACATATAGCTGCTTTGCATGTTGACCGACTTCCACACGCTCCGCTACTTGCCGAGGCTGCGATGACCGTGGAATATCGATTGTACCATCAGCTGGAGTGCGTTTCCTCTTTCCAGAAAACAGCTCTCGATACACGAAAGTCCCACCCTGCTCCAGCCGATCCATAGAATAAAACTCAAAGATGTATCCACACAGTGATTGTGCTAGCGGGTTTCCATCTGACGAACCGAGAAGGCTTTGCAGCTTCGCGCGGTCAAATCGCCACTTTGTTCGAACAATCAACTGCATCGCCAAATCTGATGCATATACGACTTTGTATTTTCGATACGGTTCTTGGCTGTGGATGTGAATCAAAGTCTGAACGATCTTGGTCTTCGAGTTGATCTCAGAGTATATAGACACCAACATAATGCAATCATCGAGAGAACAACTGCTGCATGCGGACATCAGCAAAGCTTGTGGGTCAGTTTCAATGTCTTGCAACACTAGGCGAGGTACACCACCCAAGCAATCAAATCGATTCTCCCACACAGCTGCTGCATGTGGATACATGGGAGCAATTGTCGCCAGTTCTTCTTTCGACCACAGTGGCATGTAGAAAACATCGGCAGTAGGAGGCTGCTTCTTGAACTCACCGATGCAGTCTCGTCGCGGTGTGCTTGCGAGAAGAACTGAGCATAGCCGGTAGGGAAGCCCAGGGATACTTGTTGGGTCCATCGAGTCAACAAGGCACCACAGATCAGGCGACCAAAACTGTTCATTAAACTTGCTTGGCAACGCCAGACAGATCAGCATCGTCGATCCATCGAAGTAAAAGAGCCCATTGTTGTCGAAAAGGAGCACGCGCTTCTTCTCCTTGATCAATCTCCACAGGACATAGTAGACGAACACCGACTTTCCAACCCCAGGCGTGCCCGTGACGACAGCATACTTGACCATGCCCACATTTGGATTGAACAGCGCATGGTTGGCGATCACTTGGTACGAAGAGCGAATGTAGAGCTTCTGACGTCTCGTTAGCGGCAGCAACGACGAAAACTCGAGCCAATCACCAACTTTGTCAACTGTCCGGAATTGTAAGAAGAATGGATTAATGCAGTGGTCGAATACACCGTCTTGAGAGACTGTTGGAACCGAGAACCCTTGCTCCGGAACCACCACCAGCACGTGAATTTGCTCACTGGATGGAAGCTCCATGTTGTTCTTCGTGTAAAACCACGTTGTTAAGGTCTTTGAGCCTAGAATCGGTTCTCCGGCCGTCAGCGCATGGATGTAGTCATCAGATTCTCCTTCCACCAGCTTCAGAGCAGCCCGATGTTCGTCTGGGAGCCACTTAAGATTTTCCTCCTTCATCTCCTCCGCAGAAGGGCGGTAAACAGGGACGACCTCTTTGCCGCTCTCATCTTCGACGGGCTGCTTCGCCAGGAAGAGATGCAGCTTGTCTGCATCAACATCTTTGAAGTCATTCGGCTTCTTCGCCTTAATCACCTCCTTCAAGTCTCCCACCAGCTGGCTCGCGTCGATGTCCACAGGGAAAGCGCTTCCAGCCACACCAACGATCGCACAAACAAGCTTGACCATCTTTTCTCGAGACGGCAAGTTCTGGAATGAGGGAGAATTTCTGGCGTACTTAAGCGGAAAAGAAAGCGCGTGACAATGATTTTCAACCAATGATGAGACGCCACGTCGCGCTGGTCCGAACTAATTCTCAAGGTTGCTTCGTCAAAATAGCAGCTGCCTCGAAAGAACGTTCCAGGACTGGTCTCGCAGGTAAATTACGGAAAGTAAAAAAACTGCCAGCGTAATGTTCCATGTCGTACTACTAGCGTTTTCGTGGGAAATGCCTGATGCCGGGTTTCCAGATTCTGAAAAATTCAGGCGATTCTGCGGGGCCCAAAAAACTGAATTCGGAATTACTACAGCGATGGCGCTCTCTCGGAATGAGTAATCGTTTGGCCTGGTTAAAAGCTTCGTACACTCTGGTTGCTTATACAAGTGTTTGGCCTTCTGTAGCCGCACAACTTTGTCAGTACAGCCATGTGTGTAATTGACGCACATGCAGCCGAACTGTACTGTGATACCGTACTGTACGTATTACGAAGTAGTACCGATATTAGTGATTGGATACTTTAAGAAGCATGTTTCCTGTTCATAATTTAAAAAAGAGTATGCAACCGTTATAACTAGTTTGCACTGCTCACCACAATCGGGGTAGGAAGTTGAAGGTTGCTGCGCAACAGCAGTAGCGACTCAATAGCTAGGCCTTTTCGGTCGTCGTGGGCATCATGCTCTTGCTTGTGATCGGCCAAATAGTGCCACTCCATTCCTGCATGGATAAAAACATCTTAGAATATCGCATCCGCGTTATTGATTCACTAGATGATCTTCATACCGGGATGATCGGGCCCAGATCAACGTCGTCTGTATCCCAGCTGACGATTTTGTGCACTGCGGGAATCATGTGGTCGAACACAAACACAAGCGCCAGGGTGATCTGACCCAGCACGGCGTCGCCGAGCTCCATGGGTGTGTGTGGCTTGTACATCATTCTCTTATGCTTTTCTCTCAAGTTTTGTTGGTCTTGGTCTGGATGACGCAAATTGGTAACTGAGTCTCAAAGGCACCCATTTCATTGACCACCATTCGTGATGAGCATGTGTAATTATTATAGCAGCATAGAAATGATTAACGTCAACTTCAGCCTGCGAAAAACCCACTTGCCAATCGCCTCTTTTGTAGATTTCAAGAAGATCTTTCATTTAGCAGAGCGATATACACATTGCGTCATCATCGCTTTAAGTTGTGACTGTTGCTGCGATGCTTCAAAAAAACTTCTTCAACAAAATATGGGAATTCATTTTTTGCGTTGGTAGTGCCGTGTCGGTGGGCCATCGTGTCGTCGGACGCGAAGCGAACAGGTGACGACGGCGACCATTTTGAAGCGCGTTGAAACAAGTGCCACGTCGGAGTCGTGCCAACTGGGAAGTATGTCGTATGACTCTCGCTTTTTCATAAAGGCTCTTTAGGTCGAGCGATCCAGGCTAAAAAGTCAATTGCCGTCAACTGACCGGTCCTGGAGCTATCTCCGATACAGTAGGCGTTGCCGACGACGAAACGCCTGACACAGTGACGTGTGCAGCATGTTGCCCTTCCGTGGCCCCGCGAATGGTGGCAATCCGCGATCAAGTTTATTGCATTCTGTTTCGTCAACACTTTTCACCTTTTATCTCATGTTTATGTTGTAGAATATAGCGCAACTAATTACAAAAGCGACAACTTCAATTATGAAAATTCGGACGCATCTCGTCGATAACAAGGAGAAACATTGTGTCGCATTAGATCTACTCTATGGCGATACACCACACGCTACATATACAGTGTACACACCACCACCAGGTATTATTACCCCGTACACGACACTTCTGTCGTGACGACGAGAAAACGATGCGTCTGGAGAGACGCGTTTGCTTGAAGTTCAAAAGTGACTTCACAGTTTTCCACGTAAGCTGAAGTTGATGGCCGTAGCTGAGACACAGTCGAGCGTCCCGCAATGCAGTCTCTATGCTACGGGACGCAAAAGAACGCCGCGATCCAGAAGGTCGACGTGTACTAATTCACAAAGCTGCCGTCTTCAGACTCAGTTACCAATTCCCGCCAAGACCAACAAGACTCCGAAGAGAAGAACACTACTTCAAGAGAATGCTGTACAGACCACACACACCTATGGAGCTCGGGGATGCCGTGATAGGCCACATCACGAGTGCATTCGTGCTTGTGTTCGGCTTTATGGTCCCCGCTGTACACAGCGTTGTTAGCTGGGAGACCAACCTCAGTCCCATCGTTCCGGTACGATAAACTGCACCACTGACAAATCGGCTGGACTAACGTCAAAATTATGTTTAATTAAAGAAATGGGCTGGAGACATAAGCCCAGTCAGCAAAAACAAGGCGCTCGATTCGCTGCCCCGCCACTAATTTGGCTTAGCTCGTGTTGGGTACTGGTACTGTTTCACTGCGCGACGACGGTACCATCAGCGCAAGGAGTCTGAATCAACTCGACCTTAACAGCGAGTGCCCGCTTACATACTGCTTTAATTTATACTTTTTAAACATGCGCTGCTTTGGCCCTGTAGCACCTAAAAAATGTTGTTGTGCTTTTTTGAAGAGCTAATTTAAGTACTCTACAAAAAAGCGCTTTCGAAAACGGTATCTTAAAAAAAAGCAATAGGAGCTTATATGTCGCTTTTAAGTCTGACGTTGAAAAGTGCTCGCTTAACTGAGGGTCGCTCTTAACCACGCCATGGTACAAAATGCTGTGATCCGATTGGATGAGCGCTTGCTAGGGCTAGCGTTTAAAGTAAATAAAATGACAGGAAGTGCCACGGACATTCGCAAGTGTCATGGCAAGGGGCAATTGCCATGTGCCATGCTACTTTTATTTGCATTAATGTATATTTTAAAAATAGTTTTCATGATGGCACAGTGGCAGGTCTATTCGTAACCACGCCATGCCATGGCTCAATCTCTAGTGCCATGGTATGGCACACGTGGCAGTGGCTAAGAGCCACCCTGAGAAAAAAGCTTTCTGTTTTTCTAAAAGCACTTTGATTTCGAATCACTTTTTCCAATGACATTTTATCAAATCATTGCGATAAAAAATAAAAAGGAATTCCAAAGGTGTTAAACAAAGCGTTTCTTTTTGAAAAAACAACGACTCTTAATTTTTTTGGCTTTCTAATATGATCAAATATTAATTGAGGCCTTTTTTCGAAAGCGTTAAAAAATCGAGCTCTTACCAAACGGTTTTCGTTTAATGGTCAGCCAGCCATCCGTCAAACCGACGTCTACCACAAACATCAAGATGACCGACTCCGCCGGTGCGAAAATGAACGCTGCGACCATCGCCGAGCCCTTCAGCTTGGCCGTGCGCCAGTACATTGAGCAGGACATGGGTGGCGTGGGTCCCAAGCTCGCGGGTTTGCTGGCTCACGGCGACCCGGCCGCCAAGAAGTACGCCGAGGGACGGGCAAGGCCTGTGCACGCGACGGCATCCGCTACGAGCTGCGCGAAGTGCCCAAGGACGAGCTGCTGGAGGCTTTGGAGAAGGCCAACAAAGACTCGGGTGTGCACGGTATTCTCGTGTACTACCCGTGCTTCGGCGCCTTCCCGAGCTTCTTCGGTGGCACCATGGACGATTTTTTGCGCGACAGCATCAGCATTAAGAAGGACGTGAAAAGACTGTGCCAATTCTACCGTGGCAACTTGTACCGTAACATCCGCTACGTAGACGACGAGAAGACGCAAAAGTGCGTGCTGCCTTGCACACCTTTGGCAGTTGTCAAGATCCTCGAACACCTTGGCGTTTATGACAAGACCAAGCCTACTGGCGACCACTTGTCAGGTGTTAACATCACGGTTGTTAGCCGTAGTGACATTGTAACAGCGAACGTCTCCTACTCGCTCACTTGCAGAGGTCGTGTACGATGTCTGGACAGTGAGTACGACGGAAGAAGTAAGCGTTAACACACTACTCGCCCCACACTTGGCCAGATTGGGGATTGCTGAGGCTCCACCCTTGGTGGACTCCGTTAGAAATTAAAAATATCAACCAAGTATCTAACCGGGCGGAGTGACGTAGCAATACTAAAAAGACTACTGGTTCTTGAGACTGCGTCGTCCAGGTCTCATACTCCCCTGGAAACTGGGAAGTCTTCCTTAGCTTGTTTGCGCGTCATCTGGGTCGGAAGTGTTGTTCTGGTTCTTCATCTGTATCCCCATCAACTTGAGTACACAGGCATTCGACACCAAGCTACTTTCGATGTTGGCGAAACTTGCCCTTACCCAATGGCTTGGTTAAGGCATCAGCAGGCATGACCTTAGACGGCATGTGTTTTACCACAATGTAACCAGCATCGACATAGTCAATAACCTTGTATATCACCAGATCTAGACACTTGATCTTGTGATGTCCGCTGGAATGTGTCATGACCGGAACAGCTGCAGCATTGTCCGTCCAGAGAAGAGCTGGAAGCTCGACAGGAACTTGTAGTTCGGCTAACAAGTTTTGTAGCCATCGAATTCGATCTGCACAGCAGCTGGCTGCTGTGAGCTCAGCACTGCATGTATCTTTAACTGCACTGGGCTGTAGCTTACTTTGGTATGCTACAACACATCCACCAAGTGTTACAACTTGGCCAGTAACAGATCGACGAGTGTCCATATCATTGCCGAGGTCAGCATCAGCATATCCAGCGATAGAAAGATTGCCCTTTGCAGAAACGTTTGGTAGCACCAATCCATAGGAACTAGTCCCCTTCAAATACGTAAGAGCGCGTTGAGCCAGTCCAAAATGTTCCTCTGTATAACAGTCAAGAAACTTGCTCAAGACACGAACCGCGTTCGCGATATCGGGTCGCGTACAACGCACCAAATACTGTAGGGAACCAACAATTTGACGAAATGGTAGATCACTTCTATTTACGTCAGGTCCGTAGGGTTTGCTGGGTCTCATAGGTTTTACTTTTGGGTCCATTGGAGTACGGACCACACGAGCAGTGTGATCGCCATATTTTTCCACAATGTGTTGAATGTACGATTCTT